TCTTCGGGTGACGGATATCTACATTCTTACAAAATGTCATTACTATAATTATTATGTTGTTTCATTTTTGAGTTATGGGTGTTGAATCTGAAAAAGGAGAAGGAGAAGGAGAAGGACAAAACTCCCTATCATAGTTCCATACATCTATGATGCTAGGTACCATGCCAATCCCTATATACTAAGTACTACCGTACTTAGTGATTGCAAATGGCGGCTGTAGTCTCTAAGGCAATGCCTTAGCTCTGTACATCAGTGTTGTTTGTGTGTTTCTTGTTTGTGTTGGCATGGTAGTCTGGACTCCTATGACGGTGTGAGGTGCCTGGCTGGTTAACTGAGCAACTTAGCAGCCCTGCTAGCTATAGACGCAAACACGTGGCATCTGTCGGTCTTGGATGTCCTGGCGGGATGGGTAGCCCCTTTCGTTTGCGCCGCCGACAGATCTGTGACTGTTCTCACCTATACCTGCCTGCTCACCTACAACCCTGACCATTAGTTTCTCTGTGTATAAATTGTGTGTAGTGGTTTGTGTATTCCAGTTCGTGTAATGAATTTCAATACAATGTGTGTGTGTTTGTGTGTGTGTGTGCGCGCGCGCGCCACTACTGGCAGCCTTGTTCAACAGCCACAGCCTGAGTCTCCGAGCTTGCCTGTTAATTAAATTTTTGTGAAGTGCAAGTACAAGGTTAAAGAGGAAAATGACAGATGGTGGTTCATCCTCAGAGCTTCTGAACAAATTGTGCTAGCTGTGGAAATCATTGGCAAAGGTCCAGATTCAAACAGCATGGAAGCTCGAACCCGTTTCTTTCAGTGCAAAATTAAGCTCGAGTCTGCGGTTCACTATTCAATCTCACAGGGTAACGATACCTGTGCTGTGGATAGCCAGGGTGATGCTATTACCAGTAGGTCTTCACAACATGTGTCTCCTGCATCTGCTCCATCTGAAGCTGAGCATGTCTCTGGCATCAACTCGTCTTCTCCTCCTTTGTTAGCAGGCCCTCTCCAAGAGGAGGGGGAACAATCTCTCCAGGACCATTAATTGTCAACACTATTGTTGAGGGCGAAAGCTCTTGTAATGCCACCACTGTAAACACCAGAGTGTCTGAAACCCAGTTACGTGGTTTGTTTAATACTACAATGCCTGAAGCTTGTTGCCTAAACTGGATGAACTGCGTGCAACAGTTACATTAGAACAACCCCACATTGTATGTGTTGTAGAAAAACATGGTTGTCACCTGATATTGCTGACAATGAGCTTCAGATGTGTGGCTACCAACTTGTCAGACTGGACAGAAACAGAAATGGTGGAGGGATTCTGATGTAGCTTTTTTCTTTCATAGTTTTGTTACAATCAGGCCCATATAACTTAGAATTTTTGTCTGTTCTTTTTTCAAACCATCACAATGGACAGAAAGCAATCACATGAATTTCAAACGCAAAGTCATGCTTCTGTCTCGAAAATGCCACAATCTACCACCAATGTTTATTGATCAGCATAATCAAATTGAGCAGGTTTCAACATATAAGTATCTTGGCCTGATAATAACACCATCTCCTAATTTAAAATGGGATGAACACGTTGAGCAACTATGTCTGAGAGCAAAGAGGTTGCTGGGTTACCTTTACCGCATTCTTTACAGAAATGTTCAACCGTTCTTCCCATGCAATCTCTTTACATCACTCGTTCGACCGATTCTGGAATATGCCTGCCAAGTATGGGATCCATACACGCTCAAGAACAAACAAAAAGTTAAAATCTTCAGAAACGCTCTACGTATCAGCTCTGGAAGATGGTCTGCTAGTTATGAGGAATTGCTGGATTTGTTCAAAATCCCAATATTGGCCAGCTGCCGAGAGTACCTAAGGGTGTCTACATTACATCAATTTCATATATACTCACCGCTCCTACCTGACATTCTAACCTTACAACCATCTGCTTCAACCCGTTCAAGTGCACCAAGTTCCTATAAAATTCCTTTCGCACGCACAAGCACTCCTTTTTGCCTAAAACATGGTATATACACTCCAAGTGTGGAATAACTTACCTCGTGACATGTTAGACAATGACCCTACTACTTTTAGTTAAGCAATTATTACTACAAGTGCAGCATGGCCTTCCTCATTTCCATTGGCAGAAATCTATCACTCTGTTCATTTCGACTTTTTGTAAGTTTTAGGCAGTGAGTCTACTAACTCAACGTGCCATCATTATCAATAAGGCCACTCCAAGTTGCATTCCGGTTTCTGGTCAGGGCCTTTTCAAGTCAAGATGCGGGCGGGCTACTCATTATATCATTAGCCCGCCTAGTAATATTATGACCACAAACATTCATAGGGGGAAGACTGTCAAAACGAGACAAGTGCAAAGCATATATAGTACACGCAGCACAGCATGCGCAGTTAATGGATTTCTTTTGAAATGGGTGCGGGCGGCGGACTAGAAACCTGTATTATACAACTTGGAGTGCAACAACCAAAGACATAGATCGAAAGCAATTTATTTTGTTTGTCCAGTGGTTTGAACGGCCAGGAGCACAGCAAATCTCTCCGAGGTATCGCTGTACCAGGCTGTTACTTTCAGCCCCACTCCAGCCAGGTCACCCGTGATCCCCTCTCGGCTGAACTTTGTCGAGAAACCCGTCTGAAAGCCTTCTCCCTCGGAGAAAAACACCTCCAGTTTCAGCTTTTCAAAGAATACCTTAGCTTCTTGTGTTGCTACTAGCGACATTTCCACGGATGACGTTTCAGGATTCCACACGCGTCGAGACTGAAAGTTTTCCTCCTCGAAATTGGCGCCCAGTTGCTCGTTCATTATCCTGATGGCGCGGAGGGCAAGTTGTCGTCTCAGACCCTTCTGGTCCGCGTACCCTGCTATTATTTCCCTCGCGTCCTTTACCAGATCGACTCCGAGTAACAGAGCGTCTCCGCTCGCCAGCGCACTAGAGAGCATCGACAGGAATTCTACACGCTCGGCCTTGCTCTTGAAGTTTCCGACCGTGTTTCCCAAAAGACCAACAGGCGACGCCCGGTCCTTGGTAACTGCGGGAGATCTGTGTCGAAATCGCCTAAGTAACCGTCCACTGTGAGCCACGGATTCTCCTCCGTGAGTTGCTCCGCGGAATGGCGTAGAGTCTTTTCAGAAATCTCGAGCGGGACGTATCGCGAGCATCCGGTCGAGTGCATGGCCCCGAGGAGTATTTTCGTCTTATCAGACGCACCAGAACCCAACTCAACCATCTCCTGTGGATGAACGAACTCCATTATCTCCTCGGCGTGCGCGCGAAGTATATCCGTCTCGGCGTGATAAACGTAGTAATGCGGCTCCTTCGATATCTTCTCAAAGAGTGCCGATCCCACCTCGTCGTACATGTATTTGGTCGGGAACCATTTGGGGCTCGACGTCATACCTGTCAGGATGTCTCTCTCCCTACTAACGTGGTGCTCTTGTTGTTGAGACAACCGGTGAACAGTAACTCTTCCGTTCTTCTCCATTATTCAGGGCGTAGACACAAATCACCGTCTGGGGGTGTTAGGGCTAGGGGGAGGTGGGGCTTCGCCCTTGACCAGTAATTACGCCATGAGGAATTTAATTATTTTTAATTGTCCCCCTCGTCGCGTCCGGGGGACACCGGATGCCCGTAGGTATTTATGCGTGCGCAGGCGCGCCCGTGGAGCGGAGTATTGAAACAACCTCGAAGGTCCAAGTCGCTAGCTCTCACCGTTCCCGGGCTGTGCCGCGTCAGATTATTCGAGTTCCAGACAGTAAAAAACATCATGAGCAGCGATACTCTGTGTCTCTCGTGTCTTAGCTCTCCTTGCTCGAGCAGTCAACGTCTTTTTCGGCGATGCAAACCTCTTGCCTAGACTCAGCTGAGGATCGTGTTTGGCGTCGCCTTCAGTGAAGTGTTGACTACACACTCGATGCATCGTTCAGTTCCAGAGCCGTCAGCCACCGCAGCCTCTTGCTTTTTTCCTTAGGTAGCCGATGCATGGACACAAAACGTAATTTATAATCAAAATTCTTTCGCTTAGTCTATTGTAGCTAAGCCACCCACACATTACTGTACTACTCATAATTAGCTTAAAGTGGTTGCAAACAGAGTAGTACAAGAGTATTAAGTGACAGTAAACTCTAGATGGCAAGAGGCAGAACAAAGTCATGCACCACATCAGAAACATAGCCAATCCCAACATGCACTCATGAATCTGCCTCATAGCTATAGCTATACCTCAGTTTCTTCACATAATGTTCCAGATCATAAAAACTTGTCTTCTCTCTGTATATTTGTGAAATTTTACACCTATGACAAAACAAATTTTAATTGCCGACCTAGCCCAGGTCCTCAGTGCTTACTCTGTTTCCCTGGAGTTTTTAGAGGGTGAACTGAGTCCACAGTTTTCTATGTTGTAGCTGTCAGCCAACTGACTCTTTCACCATCATGATGCGCATGTGCAAACATTGTGTAAAGCGGTCCAAGGTTCGCAAAATACATTGCGTATATAGCATTAATGTAGGAGACCTGGAGACTTTGACTATTATATTATGTACTATTATAATTGTTATAGCTATGACTGTAATTTACTTTTAGCCACTCCCCTGTTCAATTGTTGCTGCTGGCCAATTTCGTATGAATGTTGTCTATGACTCGTGTTTGAGTGAGTTGAGTGTCAAAGTTTTGCAAAAGAGTAAGCAGCACCGCAAATGGACTAGCTAGCTACACTTCATCACTGGGACAAAGATGTCATTGCCAGGCCATTATAGCTACAATGTTTTGTATATTCAAACAGTGTTGTCTAAACTATGAACCATATTAGGAAACTGTATTGTGCACAATAAAGGCACTGCTTGAACAATGCAGCAGTGCTCACTATGGCAAATAAAGCACTCCTTTTCCTTTGATGTTTTGTGACAGAGTACACTAACATCCACATGAAGTATAATATACAGTGGAGTCTTATTATTATAAGCAACACACTTAGTACGACATTCTGGATACTACAAATCCTCGGAGCCTAGCCCTATAGAACACTGTAGATTTTCCCACACTTATGAAAAATTCCCCTTACTGTAAACAAATTCTTTAGGTTCCCAGCAATTCATTACTCCACTGTACACGTATATAGCTACACGTACTATACCTGCTAAATTACTGTCAGTGGAGACTAATTATGCCTGTTTCAGCAAAAAGCTTCATGCCACCCTGTATTCCAAGATGCAACGGCCTGATCATCAAACGCTTCCGGTGTAGTTCCGAACCTCTGCGCATGCGTAAAAAAGTATCTATGGCAACGTCGAATAAACAACAGTGTGTGCGGCGGACGACGGACGCGATCGAGCGGAGGTCCTGGCCTGCATCATGAGCGGCATCTCACACCGCGTAAAGGTGGCAGTAAGAACAAGACCGACTGACCGCTTCGCCCACGAGCACATCCATTTCGAAGCAACCGGTGACAAAGTGAGCGAACTATAAGTAGTGTACGCTGAAGCGCAAGTAGGAGATAGCCCTGTCGTGCGTGTGTGCCGCACTGCTAGTTGTAATCGGCTCTCCGTTTCCCAGACTATTAGCATTCGTGTCGGGAAGAACGAGGACCAGTTGAGGGGATTTATCAACAACAAGCAGGAGGGATGGAGCTTCCCAGTTGATGCTGTGAGGCAGGAACAGAGTAGTTTAACTATTACTTCACTTTCAAGTTATGTATAATATTAGGAAGAAAACACTAACATACTTAACTTACGTATAATACAAACCACTCCCAAATCTCAACTAGTACAAAGCTTCTCTCGTACTAGTGTAGCTATAAGTACACAATGTCATGTGATCAGTTAGATTTCTATTGAAGTTGACCTGGGCTTGCCGTATCAAATCAGATTCTCCACAATGCAAGCCAGGAGCTTGTGTACGAGACTTGCGGACAGGGATTGGTGGTGGAGCTGATGAGAGGATATAACGGAACACTTCTTACATATGGAGAGACTGGAGCCGGTACTAAGACAACACACCCATACCCCACTCTGCCACACTACTGTTGCTAATGCACTTGTTAGAACCTCCAAGATTCTACCCCATGACATCAGAATTAGGTGCAAAGAAACTTCAAGATTTTCTGTGCTATTGTATGTACCTCCTTTGCCATGTGACCTTCAGCTCTCTAATCTTGGTACCTTTTCCCTATTAGAAGCACATGCATGTACATGCTGTATAGTGCAGGTGATGCAATGTGTACAACTGAAAGGCTCGTGTGCTACATGCAGGTAAAACGTACACCATGTGTGGTCCACCGGGAAACTACCAGGCACGAGGAGTCATTCCAAGAGCTATTGCCCAGGTTATTACATAGTGTACACCTCATGCAGAGGCCATTATACATGCGGCAACTTTGTTTCTTAATACAAGTTGCAGCAACTTCCAAAGTATTGGTACAATGGGCCCAGCAACTACTAGTTACCAGAAATAGATTGCTTTTCTATTTCTGGCAACTAGTAGTTACCTGGGACAATACTTTGGAAGTTGCTATATACAACTTTTGTTTTTGTTATTATAAGCAACATGTATATGGGCCTGCTAATACAGGAAGGTCATAGTTGCAAACAGAGTAGTACAAGAGTATTAAGTGACAGTATAGCTAGTATGCTATGTAGATGGTGGAAGGAGCCCTAGCAGAAAAAAGTCATGCTCTTCCAATAGCTACACAGGAAAGATTCTCATCTTAGATGACCATAGACCCTAGAGCTATGAGGCAGATTCATGAGTGCATGTTGGATTTGGCTATGTTTCTGATGTGGGTCAAGTAAAATATTGTCTACACTGCTGCAGGTGTTTTCAGAAGTGAGAGGATGCAAAGACAACTCCTACAACATACAGTAAATGCATACTTAATGCAAATTGCTTACCAATGTACATATACTACAATGTGTTTGCATTAGCTACATATGTATGTACGTACAAACTATTATTCTCGTCTGCCTGATTATTGTGCAATAAGGACACCAACTGTGTGTAACTCTGACACATACATACTAGTGCAGGAAAACCAGACAATATTATGTAGCCATCCCTCATGCATCGAACTGCAATGTGTCAGTTACATACATAAGGGCTAACTTTTACAAAAATGAGTGAAAGAATTTATGTTTTAGTAATAGTTTCTAAGTTAGCCAAACTGCCACATTCCCTTTAATGAGTCTCACCTACCTTATTGTGCTTTCCACCAGTGTGTCATATCTTGAGATCTACAATGACCTTGATCTCTCGACCTCACTTCCCCGCGCCCATTACACTGCAATGTTTTTTGACTTAGTTTTACTTTGGTAGTTGAATCGACTCACCCCTTTTTGCATCCTCTTTTTCCTGCACACCCAATAAACCCCCCCAACTCCACTCTTCTCAACATCGTTCTGTACTTTTTGGTACCCACGTTTATAACCCTCGCTCCTTAACAGCTCATATTGCATCCTACGAGACTATTGCCGGTATCTCCGAAACCCCTGACAGTATACTATTTATCGTTTTTTCCTTAATTCAAGGAAGTTGCCCCTCTCCCGTACTTATGGTTGGTTTCTTCTTTATGACCCCCCCGCAGTCCCCCCCTACGCCTAGACATGAGTCCCTCCCCATGCTGTAGTGCTCGTGGGTTTCCGTACAATCACCACAAGGGGCAACCTTCTTCTCTTCCTTCTGTACCCACCCAATCAAGCCAGTCTGTCCTTCGGATGTAGGACTTGTTTGCCTTGCCTTGCCTTTCTACCTTGCTACCAAGTTTGTGAGGGACCACCCGCTTTTTGCTAATCAGCCCACCCCTTTCGCTCTTTTAATGGATGATGGGACTCCACCTTGGTAGGGACCGATGGGACCCCCGAGGTTGTCCGCACACCGTGCAAATGGTTTCTTCCTATCCCCGTAACACTTTGCCAGACAATTTGCCAATTTAAGAACGAAGCGCACTCTTTTCTTTTTTATAAAAACAGGCTCCCGTCGACCGGTTATTTTAATCCAACACCCAACTTCTCTCTCCAGTGTTCTGTGCAGCCGAGTTGTTAAACTGCCCCCTCTCTTATCACATACACATTGTCTATTTCGTGGACGAAAGATGAACACCGCCCATTTAACATTGTTTTTGACTGTACTTCAGGAGAAGTTCCCCCCCATCAACACCACAGTCCCCACATCCCCCGTCGCTGTTCACACTGCCATGTCACCAATCTTTTACTTTCTTTTCTGCCGACTTCTTGTTATGGATACACAACCGATTTTTTCATTGACCACCCCTTCACTATGGACCGTTTTCGGTCAATATCCCCATAGGGTAAAGATTTTCAAGAACCTTTGTTTTACTTTCCAAGAGGGCTGCCAGGTAGAGAACGGCCCAAAATTTTTATTTTCCTTTGCCTTGGCAGGATACATTTTCCTGTATTTTAACTTCACCGGTGCTTACGCCGGCTTTAAGATAGCGGTTTTCTATCGACCATTGGTATTACCCATCACTCTTTTCCAAGCACATACCTCAATTAACGGGCGCTTCTGGTAAATTTGTTTTTAACAGCCTCCACATGCATAGTGAATAGTACCCCATACATGTATAACTTTCCTTCAAACTAGCCTTTTCTTCTTCAGTATCGTATATACAAGAGCCACGTATTGCTTCCTGTTTGCAATCTACTGATTTACTTCCGTACCCAAATCTTAATGCTTTCATACAATGTTACATCCGTTAACTTTCATTTCGTCCACCTAGTTGCCCGCCTATTCATTCCAGCGTCCTCAGCCCCCACATTCGCCTCAGCTTCACGCTACACTGGTCTTTCGACTCAATCTCTCTCGCCTCTAGGAATTCTTGGCACGGATGATGATCACCAAGACCCCCCCTTCCCTTCCTCTTTCTTCTCCCTTTCTTATGACGCTATAGTCCATAACTTTCTTGGTCGCGGTCGAGGCTACCCCTCAATAAGTTTTTTTCCGCTTTCCCTCTTGCCTACATGGATGTAGTCCATGCGATATTGGCGGCAGACTACTACACAATACATTATATCTATACTCTACTGGACTTGGTTCTGATAATTAATTCATACCTATGTAGATCCACAGGTACAACCGATTGGCATCCACACATATAGGATGGTCTCGGAGAGAAATGCAATTTGCGCTTGGGTTTCCATGGCTAAATTCGGAACTAGCAGTCTCTCACTCAACAAGGCCCCTTCATCCTAAATAAAATCTGATGCATTCTTATTCAAAGGGAACACTAATTCCGCATTCTTCCACTCGGGAACTATCCTGCTGGATTTTTAACATACTTTTAGATTATGTTACGATTAAGCCCAGACTTTTCAAGCTAA